CACAGGATGAGGTATAGGGTGCTGGATCTAGGGGGCACTCACCTCAGGTGGCTCCCCACAAGCGGCGACCTGTCCTGGCTGCTCCTAGGAGGAAGCATGGCAGGCGGCTCCATGCACTGCCTCCACCCTGCCCCGAGCACTAGCTCCGCAGCTCCCCTTGGCTGGGAACCGCAGCCAACGGGAGCTGTGGGGGTGGCACCTGCGAGCGGAGGCAGTGCACAGAGCTGCCTGCTGCGCCTCCGCCTAGGAGCAGCTAGGACAGGTCGCCGCTTGTGGGGAGCCACCCGAGGTGAGCGCCCCCCAGATCCAGCATCCCACACTGCCTCCCATGCCCAAACTCCCTCCTAGAGCCCGCGCTCCACACCCCCTCCTGCGCCCCAACCACCTGCTGGCTCCACACCAACCAGACTATAAACCAGAATTTCAATGAAGATCAGAAATGCTGGTTTATAGAGCTTTCCAGTTGGTGAAGTGCCGCATAAAACAGCTTTTACTGTACATTGTACCACAAACACTCCTTCAATCATTACTTTTAAAGCTTCCTTTATAGCTGGCTAAACCTAAGAGCATTCAGGGAACCACAGACATTCTAAACACTAGTTTCTTTCCACTATGTAACCACTAGCATTGAGGTCTCTTGTTCTTTGTTAAATATTATTCATGTGTCCAGAATGCTTGCGTACTATGCACAAATAGAGTTAAGGCTTTCACCCATCATGCACCATAAATAAATCAACATTATTTAGGTATTTTTATTTCTGTTTTCCATATGTTTGCTGTTTAAAACTAGAATCATAAAATATCTGAATGGTATAATTTAGCCTTTTATATAATAATAAAAAAGTTTACCATTTGTATGAACCTTCTGACCGTTTCTTTAATACAGGAACTCTTTTTTATTTGAATTGGGTGGTTGTGGTGGAACAGAGATGGGGTATTCCAAAATGCCTTCAACATCATTGCAAAGCTTCATGCTGTTAATGTACCAAACACTATAGTTTCACTGTTATCTTGTCCTTCCCCACCTTCCCTCCCTGGTTATCTTCTCTCTCTCACCATATGCTAAGAGTGTAAGCTTTTTGTGGCAGACTCTGACTTTTTATTGCATGTGTGTACTGCACCTAGCAATATGGGATTGACTGCTCCAGTTTTCTCCAGGAGCTTTGTTGGACTACCACAGGGGTCGGCAACCTACGGCCGCTCTGGGGTTCCCGCTGCTGGCCCCTTGCCAGCTGGGGTCCCACCGCCAGTGCAACTCAGCACCCATTGCTGGCCTGGGGGAAGGAACCCCAGGCTGGCAGCAGACTGAGACCCCGGCTGGCAGGAGCCGGTGGCCGAAACCCCAGAGCGGGAGCTGGCTGAGCTGCTCAGCCCTCGCCGCTCTGGGGTTCCCGCTGGTCCCACTCAGCTCCCGCTGCTGGCCTGGGGGAAGGAACCCCAGTCTGGCAGCGGGCTGAGACCCCAGCTGGCAGGAGCCAGCGGTGGAAACCCCAGAGTAGCGGTGGGCTGAGCTGCTCAGTCGCTGCTCTGGGGGTCTGGCTTCTGGCCCCTTGCCGTCCCCACCTCCGCAGCCCCACTCACCTTGCTTCCCCTTGGAGTTCCAGCGCAGGCCCCCTGCCAGACAGGGTCCAGGCCTCCAGCCTTGCTCAGCCCTACCAGCCACCAGCTCCACTCACCTCAGCTGCTGATCTGGGGTTCCAGCCGCTGACCTCCTGCCAGCCGGGGTCTGGATCTCCAGCCTTGCTCAGCCTGCTTTCCGGCCTGACCCTAACAGTAGTTTGGTTATATATTATAGACTTATAGAGAGACCTTCTAAAAAACGTTAAAATGTATTACCGGCATGCAAAGCCTTAAATTAGAGTGTATAAATGAAGACTCGGCACACCACTGCTGAAAGGTTGCCGACCACTGGACTACCATAACATTCTTACTTCAGATGCAAATCCCAAACAAGCCCTCAAGGACAGCATGTCTCCCTGTATCTTCAAATTTTAGGCTGAATATCAGGAAAATGTCTTAATGCTAAATTCTGTCAGACTATAGCCTAATCTCCCTAGGAAGAAGCCCGCTCACCAAATCATTTATAGCGGAACTGGAGAATATTTATTTACCTATTCATTGTTTAGCTTGTGGTAATGCCCCAAATGTGCTAGGCTCTTTCCAAACAAAAGCAGAGCTAGATACCATCCCTGCCTTTTAGTGGCTGCTACAATCCTACACTGACAAGGAGGGTGGGTTAGCTGACTTGTTAGGATCTTGATCCCACAAACATTCTGTATGTGGAACTTCAGCTGAAGTGAATGGGGGTTCTGCATGCCAGAGCACTTGACATATTGGTCATTTTCATCATTAATTTCTGAGATTCTTATTATGTGAAAGTGGGTTGCCCCTTAAAAATCAACGAACCGGTAACATATGCAGTCTGGTTCCAATGCCTCCTGGGCCCTCTGGCTCTGGAGAAAGCAGGAGTTATCCCATAAACACAAGGGGATGGAGTTCACTGGATTCAATCCAAAAACAAAAATTCCCACAGAAAGTTAGTGGACCTTTGAAGCCAGAGACCAGATGGTTTAGGTGGGGGAATTTTCTTTTCTCTCCCTGTACAAATAAACTATTAACATTCAGTCATAGCTAGTTGCCATTCCACATACTTTCTATTGGATATTACAGGCTGGAGAGTAGTCAGGTAGCAGTACAAATACAGGATGCAACTTGTAAGGATATGACAGGCAGACAGACCCTCCTCCATTACCACAAGGAGGAAGATTCATAAGATTGTTTGGGTGGAGGGATGGGGCTTTGAGCACCCACATCATCAACCCAGAAGCTCCTAAGTTAGGGACAGTGCTAGGGTTTGGCCCAGATATTGGCCTCAGCCACTCCTGGGTGGACCCAATCCTGCCACCGCCCCTACCCGTGCGCCCAGCCAGCAGGGCCCAATCCTGCCACCGCTCCCCCTTTCTGAGGGTCACAGCCTGAGCTACCCCCGGTTCCCGCTGCCCGCCGCGGGGCAGAGCCCGGCCCCGCCTCCTTCCCGCGCTGGGCCGGCTGCGGCGCAAGGTCCCGAGACCCGAGCGCGCTGGCTGGGGAGGGGAGGCGGAGGCGCCGCCGCGGCCCCACTCGGAGGTGGGGGAGTCGCGAGCCAGACAAAGAGCGAGCGCGGGGCGGGGAGCCGGGCGCTGCAGCTGCCGGCCGGGGCTTGTCTCGCTGCTGCCGGCGCCTCGGGCCGCCGGGGGCAGGCGCGAGCAGGAAGCAAAGCGAAAGGAGCGGGGCAGGCTGCGTGCCGGGCGCTCCGGGCGCCCCCTGTCCGGCCCGGCCCGACCCGACCCGCGCTCGCCATGGCCATCGCCCACATCGCCACCGAGTACGTCTTCTCCGACTTCCTGCTGAAGGAGCCCTCCGAGCCCAAGTACAAAGGGCTGCGGCTGGAGCTGGCGCTGGACAAGCTGGTCACCTGCATCGCCGTGGGGCTGCCCCTGTTGCTCATCTCGCTGGCCTTCGCGCAGGAGATCTCCATAGGTAACCGCGCCCCCCGGGCCCCGCCGGGCCAGCCCCGCAGCCTGGCGCTTTGCCCGGTCTCGGCCGGGCAGCGGCACTCGCAGCCCCGACGCGGCTTCCCCGGCCCGACCCGCGCACGCCTCGCCCTGCTGAGCGGCTGGGCGGAGCCCGGCTGCATTGTCAAGGCTGCGGGAGCTTGCTTGGCCCTTCGGAAACCGTGTGTGTGTGTGGACAGCTCTGGGTTATGCTGGGTCTGATGGTCCTGCTGACCTGGGATTCAGCACCAAGCCACTTGCCTTCCTGTCTTCAACAGATTTGGGTTTGTCTTTATATTAAGGGGCGAGTCACACAGGTCAGCAGAGAATCTGAACTGGCAACAGAAAAAAGAACAGGAGTACTTGTGGCACCTTAGAGCCTAACCAATTTATTTGAGCATAAGCTTTTGTGGGCTTCAGTCCACTTCTTCGGATGCATAGAATGGAACATATATTGAGGAGATATATATACACATACAGAGAGCATGAAGAGGTGTGTATATATATCTCCTCAATATATATTCCATTCCATGCATCTGAAGAAGTGGGCTGTAGCCCCCGAAAGCTTATGCTCAAATAAATTGGTTAGGCTCTAAGGTGCCACAAGTACTCCTGTTCTTTTTGCGGATACAGACTAACACGGCTGCTACTCTGAAACATGGCAACAGAAAATGTGGCTCCCAATAGGACGAGAATTCTTTACTTTTGCTAGGAACCTGTCAGTGGATTTGGGGGAATAATGTTATTCAGTCAGTTCGTCTTTCCTGGCGTACTGCACGCGCTGGTGATGTCTAACTAATAATAATTAAGCGCCGAGTTTATTTCATACAAATTGTATCCAGCGCCATAGATTCGCTGGTCAGAGTAAACACGTGCTGTATAAAATTAAAGTATCCTTCCTAAGGAAATAACGGGAGGAGAGAGAAACCAAAAACATCTGTGTATCACAATAGGGAACTGAGCAGTTTCTTTGTTACTGACTGCACCAAGATGTGAGACTGTTCAGGGAGCATGGGAGAGGAATGTATCTGAATAATTAAAAAAAAACTAATAGCCTGGCTTTGATGTAAATAGGTGTGGATGACTACAGGTGCACTGCACTTCAGGCTTAAGAAAATGCTGATAGAAATGTCATTTTTAAGGAATATGGTGAAATTTTTGGCTTGTCAGCCTTTGCATTCTTCCATTAAGATACTCAGTTTTCCACTTCCTATACTGATACGTTTTTGTCACTCAGAAGGACTGAAGGTTACGAAAGGGAAGCGGTGAGTGATTCTGACAAAGATTTGGGGGTTGTGGTGGATAATCAGCTGAACATGTGATGGTTTGACCAAAAGAGCTAATGCAGTTCTGGGATGCCTAAATAGGGGAATCTCAAGCAGGAGTAGGGAGGTTATTTTATCTCTGTATTTGGCACTGGTGCAACCACTGCTGGAATACTGTGTCCAGTTATGGTGTGCACAATTTAAGAAAGATATTGATAAATTGAAGAGTGTTCAGAGAAGAGTCACAAGACTGATTAAAGGATTATAAAACATATCTTATAGTGATAGACTCAAGGACCTCAATCTATTTAGCTTAACAAAAAGAAGGTTAAGAAATGACTTGGTTATAGACTGTAAGTATCAACATGGGGAACAAATAGTTAATAATGGGCACTTCAATCTAGCAGAGAAAGGTAGAGCATGATCCAATCGTTGGAAGTTGCAGCTAGACAAATACAGACTGGATATAAGGCATACCTTTTTAATGGTGAGAGTAATTAACGATTAACAATATACTAAGTGTCCTGGTGTTTTTCTAAAAGCTTTTTCTAAAAGCTATCCTCTAGGAATTATTTTGGGAAAGTTCTATGTCTGTGCTATACAGGCGGTGAGACCAGGTGATCACCGGATCCGTTCTGGCCTTATAATCTCTGAACTGGGTACATCAATTCACATGCAGGATTCTCATTGTATTCAATAGGTGTTCCATGTATATGACGCCTGGAGATGGTCCATAATTTACACACTGACAGAGGCACACATGGGGCTTTATTACGCTGCTGAAGAAGAAAGTTTATCTAATATTTGTGCATATCTCCGACACTTGAATGTGTGCCCATGTCTGTTTCAATAGATGACAATCTAGATATGTTGTAATCTTTGCTCCTTTGTTTTCTTTCAGTTTAATTCAACTATAACACTTTATTGTGCTCACACTTGGAAAAAATATTGTAAATTTGATTTACAGCCTTATTAAATCTCCCTGTTGGACTTTGGTAAACTGTCATGGGTATTTTTATGATCTTCATTACTGTGGTATCTGTGCACCTCACAATCATAGAATCATAGAACTGGAAGGGACCTCGAGAGGTCATCTAGTTCAGTCATCTGAACTCAAGGCAGGACTAAGTATTATCTGTACCATCCATGACAGGTGTTTGTCCAACCTGCTCTTAAAAATCCCCAATGATGGAGATTCCACAACGGCCATAGGCAATTTATTCCAGTGCTTAACCACTCTGACAGTTAGGAAGTTTTTCCTAATGTCCATCCTAAACCACCCTGGCTGCAATTTAAGCCCATTGCTGCTTGTCCTCTCTTCAGAGGTTAAGAAGAACAATTCTTCTCCCTCCTCCTTGTAACAACGTTTTATGTACTTGAAAACTGTTATCATGTCCCCTCTCGGTCTTTTCTTCTCCAGACTAAACAAACTCATTTTTTTCAATCTTCCCTCATAGGTCATGTTTTCTAGACCTTTAATCATTTTTTTGCTCTTCTCTGGACTTTCTCCACAATCTTTAACATATTTATCCT